TATTTCTTCCTACACTCTCATTACAGGATTTTCCCAATTCGACGGTGAGGCTTAATCTAGTTATAAAAACATATTTAAACTGTCAAACACCAAGCGGTCACCGGTGACCGCAACCTATTGTTCTATAATTGTGTCTATAATGACGATACTCGACGAGTTAAATTACTAAAAACGAGTTAAAAGCCTTACAATATATACAAATTACATTTTAACCTACAAAACAAAACTCAAGGTCATTCCATCGTCACCATCATCATATCAGCCATAGGACGTCCATTACTAAACATAGGGCTCACCCAATGATTTCCAGACAGGCCAGTTTAAAAACGGACCTGCATCCTGCGGCTCCCTACGATCTTAATTAGGTCGTCTGTCCACCTTGCGAATATTTATATCGGTTTAATTAATTAATTAAATACGCTCATTTTTGACCGATTTAATACAAAACTGTCGATAATTAATCAAATCTTTAATGAAAATCTAGAATTTACTCAGATCAGCAGAAAAAAGATAAGTGTTAGCAGAAAATATTTTATTCAGTCGACCTTATTTCATGAGTAAGGGCAATTTCCAGGGAATTTAATAAAAGGGAATCTCGTTCCTCGGATTTTTAAAACCACGTTTATTATTATTTTCCCTTCTCAATATTTAATTGGAAATACGCAAGATGTCTTGTTGGGTTCAAAATCTTGTAATTTTCATTCGAGATGTTTTTGTTTTAAACTCGCTTTTGCCCGCGACTACGTCCGTATGAAATTAGCTTTTACCTGCCTGTGACTTCATTTTCGTACAATAGTGACTTTAAAGCAGGATTATTTTTTAATATAAACTCCTTATATGTTGTTCGAGTTTTTTAGTTATACACCAAAACAGTTTCATTCAAATTCATTCATATAAGTTCCGAATATTAGCCTGAGCAAACAGAGAAACATAGTAACAAAGTCACCAGAGGCTTTTTTTATCAAAAGTTATTTTTATATTAAAATATAATAGTATAATTTAAAAACTTAAATAAAATTAATACTAACTAAATAATTACTAAATTCAATACATACAGCTTAAGATAAATATTGGTCTTTTTCTCGGTAAGCATTGCCATACTTCTGGGTACTCCCCCCGGACGTCGATACGGACGAATTTTTCGATGCTTTATATAAATAGTTGTTTTTAATTTTATTTTATTAAAACATATTAAATGTACAGACACATTTTTACTGTTTCTTTATACCTTTGTATTGATAGATATTTTATTTCTCTAAGTAGATCGTAATAAACAGGGAGCTTAGTCCAATTTGCACACAAACAAGGAAAATGGTATAAGCAGCTAAATAAATAATTCTGCGTAACATAATAAGACTTCGATATTCCCTTTTTTCTTGCAAGAAATATAATACACCTCGCTAGTTATGCACACGTCAGCGATACGCAAGGTAGCTGGTTTGATTTCTATGTGGGAAATAGGTCACATGGTTTCATGTTGACAAAGCAAGAAAGTAATGACAGGAGCTTTACTGTCGATTGAACACAAATTCAACATCCAATTACGAAGTGCTGAGTAAAATATGCCATACATGATAGTATTTTGTAATTTTCTAAATCAGAATGTGCCGCCCAATATAAAATAACATAACATCACGCCTTTTATCCTTGAAGGGGTAGGCAGAGGTGCACATTATACCACTGTACAATGTAACACCCACTTTTCACTATTCATGTTATGAGTTCCATGTAATAGGGGGTGAGCCTATTGCCATATACCGAGAAATAAAATATTTGTCAAAATATCGTTTGTATGGCACTTTCACTTTGCGTCAATTTAGAATAAAGTTGAAAGCATGGCTTATAGAAAAATGTTTTTATAGTATTAAGGACTTTATTAACCATGGAATTGTTGAAAGAAAGAAATTTTAATATGACATGTAATTTTACAGACATAAAGACGCCTTGACTTGTATTTAAAATTTTAATTTGAAATTTCAAATCTGTATCTTGACATACTTAATAATCAATTAAATTAAATTGCATTAAATTAACATTCGCATGCCTGGGAAAGGTGGAATACATTGTACTGTAAAAAATTAAACTAAGATCCATTGTATCACATGTTCCTGCGAATAAATTTCTATTTCTATTTTCAACATACATTATTGCCAAATTCGAGTCGATACACGTTATACTGAAAACATATTAAGTCCGTTCTAATAAGTCCAATTTCTGCACTACATTATATTGACTGCCTCGTTGGCCGAGTGGTCGCAAGTGCGACTGCCGGACAAGGGGTCTCGGGTCGGGCAAATTTTATTAGATTTTTAAAAATTCTCAGTAGTAGCCCGGAGTCTGGAATTGTGCTCGGTATATGGCAATAGGCTCACCCCCTATTACATGGGACTCATAACATAGATAGTGAAAAGTGGGTGTTACATTGTACAGTGGTATAATGTGCACCTCTGCTTACCCCTTTGGGGACAATAGGCGTGATGTTATGTTATGTGTTATGTTATATTGACACTCAGTATTTTAAGCGTGAAAGCTTAACAGATAAAATAATGTTATAAATAAGTATGAATTGTGTTTGCTATTTGTCCAGGCTCTAGACCTTTGGATGGCTGGCTGTATGATGTTCGTATTTGCTGCTCTCGGAGAGTTTGTCGTCGTCAAGGTGTTGGACAAGCAATATCAGATGAACAAGACCAAAGCCCAGGAGTCCATGCCAAGGATCATTCCGGTGGTAAATATCTTATTCTTGTTATCTTACTTATTTTTACAATATACTGAAATTTAAATAATATGTACATATATAGAAGCACACATTTCACTTCACTCGCACTTCCGAAACTTGACAGTTGATAAGATTCTTCTCCAGTGTCTAACCAAATAGATTTTATTCAATTCCAATATTTTAAGTTTAGGTTTAATTTTATCCTCCTTACTACTCAGATTTTCTCCCGTTGGTTTCCCGAAGTGAGACACACATTTCGTAATATCTCTACGTGATATTATGACATGTTGACATGTTAGTTCTCACCAAAACTAAATAAAACAAGATCAAAATTCTCAAACCGCACTCCATGACCTCAATCTCAACAACCAGTTCCAAATCGAACCAAGATTATTGAGACAAAGATGTTTCGTTATCTGTGGCAGCGTTTGAATGGAGAGAAGGGTTCTTGTGGGACCCTGGCGGCTTGGGAGGGCAGCCAGGTCAGGTGTCGTAAGGTGGACCTGACGTCTCCTACGTCACCTCCAGCAGCCACGCCGGCAGTGCACCCGGCACCATCAGCTACGCATGCCACCGCTCACCTGGTCGGCGTTGAACGACGGCAGAGCATTCTTCAGGTAGGATTACTTTCCTTTCTTAAAATCTAAGATGGCGAACCAACCAGCAGCAATTATTGCAGGCTATGAATACCTGAAGTATATCTTGCTATTTTGAAAAGTCATATTAAGAAATTTATGAATTGGCTCCTCCGTAGTAAAAATTAAGAAGACTCTAAAAATACGCTTTTTATTCCAGGTTGCCTGGCTAGACGCCGACACAGGTCAAGAACGAGTGCTGTGGAGGGAGATCGACAAACTCTCTCGAGTGGTATTCCCAGCACTATTCCTCCTCTTCGTCACCATGTACTGGCCTGTCCTCCTCCTCAAAACGAAGACCTCTTCATAACAATTAGATTTCTCGAGCCACACTGTCGCTGCCTAAAAACATTGGTCGCAAATCAATGTTGTATTAAGGCTTCAGAAATGCCTCTAATGTCGACTGAAAGTCATGTAAGCACAAAATGAAAGGCTTTACTGAATCGACTAGGTTATTACTTATTAGGCCTTTTGAATTATTTCGTATGAAATGTCATATTGGAGTTTCTGAATGTTGGTTTTGTCGGGGATTAAATGAAAGGTAACCGCACAGTTACGAATATTGCTCGCGTTACGTAACATAACACTGTGACTGTCGTGGCGAGTTTTTTTTGCTTGATAGGACTTTTTAAAATGTGAAGGCATTTATACTGAGTGCTATAGTAGTTTGGCTCGAAGATAAGAAGACAAAAACCAAGAAAAAGTCTCCTTAGGATTTACATAAGTCAGTAAAAAACTAGAACACTTTGATCTCAAAGTGTGACATCGAAACGAGGGCTCTTTTGCGTTCGAGTTCTGTGTTAATCTAACAGCTCGGTTTTATTTTCAAAGGTATAGCGACGAAATTATCTCGATTAAAAATATTGTAGGAATCTACAGCTCAATTTGTTTTTTGCGAACAAGAAAATCTCAAAATTTTCGTGAGAGAGGAAAAATACAACGATGTTGCTACCCTATGAAATATACTTGAACAAAAAAAATTTTAGGAGAATGTACAGTTATTAGTTTTTAAAAAGGGTGAGGGTATCTTGAATGTAGATATAGTTATAAGTAGATGCTTGAAAATATTTTCAAAAATTATAATAAAATATGAGACACAAACGTAACAAAAAAAAATGCACAAAATAAAGTCGTAAACTATGTGGAGATGTTTAAAGATTTATATTTTTTTCTGGAAATATATATCTTAAGAAATGTGCTGTATATTTATTTGAATAAAGTTCAAAATACGTAGACATTTTATTGTTATTGTAATATAGGGTTAAGGTGCTCATAGATTAGCTATTTAATAGAGCATTGTTATACAAAAGTTGTTGTTTTAAAGTCAAGTTGTAATCAGATTACAAATAAAATTTGTTTTTCTAAAGTTTCTAGACATTAAAATATATAACGCGTGTTTACTTTATGGGTATCTATCTATATATCTTCTGTTTTTTGAGTAGAAGATGATTCTTTACATGAGTAGGACAAAATATGATAAAATGATTTTAATGTAGATATAATAACAAGTCTGGAATTATGCTCGGTTATATATATATATAGGTAATAACTAGTCATACATACACAGATCTTTCCTGCAGATCTGCTTGAACCTGTTACCTGACGATTAAATCTGTATGTCTATGAAAAAAGGCACGGATACACATTGAAGATCAAACAATCAAATTTTTTGTATATGTATAGTTTTATTGAACATTTGAACATCACGTTAGATTGTACAGCATACCACGTACATTTTATTAACTCGTCGAGTACCGGTTTTGTAGACACAATTAAATAGATCGGACTAACTTACCTGTGACGTCCGATCCTCAATTGTGTAGGTAGCGTCATCCTCGCTAATTATACTAGTAGTAGGCACTAATCTGGGCACGCTGTCACAATATTTAAAGATGAACACATTCATAAAAAAAAATATTTATACTCTATGGTCATCTCACTGGCAACATCATTGTACTTCTTTGTGCACGACCTGTCACGTCGTACCCTGGAAAATTTTTCAATTTAATTTGGTGATTTTCCTACTAAATGGGTCGAAAACGTCGCAAGCAGATAGGAAAACTGATGGAGTGTATGCAGGAATTGGATAATTGGGCGAAACCGGCGAGAGGACGCATTCGTTGTCGTCAGTTTGGTAAGTTTTTTCTTGTAGGTACTTACACCACATTGTGGGGCGTTTTCCAATAGCTTCCACAAGCGGATAGCCTTGAGAATGATTGTGTACGCAACATACACACTTGAAACGTACCATAAGAGCCCTCAGGAGAGGTGAGCCATTGGTTATACGTTTTCTATATACCTAGATTAAACCACAAGAGCCTTCACGAGAGGTCGGCCGTTGGTTACACGTTTACTATAGATCGAAACCACAAGAGCCTTCACGAGAGGTTGGCCGTTGGTTACATGTTTACTATAGATTAAACCACAAGAGCCTTCACGAGAGGTTGGCCGTTGGTTACATGTTTACTATAGATCGAACCACAAGAGCCTTCACGAGAGGTTGGCCGTTGGTTACATGTTTACTGTAGATCGAACCACAAGAGCCTTCACGAGAGGTTGGCCGTTGGTAACTCTACTATAGAATTAACCACAAGAGCTTTCACGAGAGGTTAGCCATTGGTTTACTTGACTTTGGAACGAACCACAAGAGCTTTCACGAGAGGTCAGCCGTTGGTTACTTGACTTTGAAGCAAACCACAAGAGCTTTCACGAGAGGTTAGCCACGGGTTTAAGTCACATTTAGTCAAACATTTCCAACTGCAATCCTAGAGCTTTCACGAGAGGTTAGCCGTGGATCATTTAAACTACCTTGCAGTTAGAAACTTAAAATCAGTTCGCTTTGCCTCAGAAGAACATGAAGCCATTCCAGTTGAAGCCGCTCACCATGGCATGGCACCGAAGCCAATCAACATGAGTTGGAAACTACTCCTATAGTCTCGCTCCAGTCAGTAAATATACTCCGGAGCAATTGCTACCTATGCTTATGGGAAATGGGACATTTCCTTAGCCAGCTATTCCATAGTGTTGCATGTTGGACAAAGCCATTCTTATCAAATGATTACACTTATTTTCCCTTTTCATAATTATTATAACCTAATTCCTCCCAATGTCTCAAATAAATGAGGAGGGGAGGAGGTGCCACTAAATAAAGATGGGATTGAGTGAGACGATAGGATTGTGAATATCAAATGACTCTAGGAGCAGTTACTGTTCGCAAATTAATTAACAAACCTATTAAAGATTTTAAGGATACAGCCAGACTGCTCTGTAAATTATTAACATGTGCCCCTGAATGAAGATCAGAACACAAATAGGTGTTCTAGCTATATATACAGTAATAAATAGTGCTTCAAGACAAGTTTATTGCAAGTAAAGCTATCAGAGAGTCTAAACTTGAATTGGAGAACATCCAAGAAAACCTTTTAGACTACCAACTTCATGCCAACCACATCAACAAACACTGTGTGATGTACAAACAATATGTGTGTGTGTGTGTGTGTGTGTGTGAGCAAAAACCAAAACTAAAGCGAACACATGATTACAAGAAAATCAACAAGGCCGATGCATCCTCTACAGAATTTCTAATTCTACCCACAGCACTGAGGTCCGGATCATCGCTAGTACAGGTAGATCACATTACCTTTCTGAACAATAGAGTTCTGCTTTAGGTTTCCCAACCATACTTAGTTGGATTAATAGGTATAAATTACCATCACTGATATTCCTGTTCAGACAAATATACCACAAAATACCCACATAGGTGTAAAAGCAAAATAATTTTACTTCTGAAGGAAAATTGTTAAAGCTAAGGTGCTGTACTGTACCATATATGTAGATAACTGACTAAGTGATTACTTGCCAGTTTATCTTCACATTCCAGAACAAATGGTCCTTCAGGCAATTAAATAATTAAGGACTATAATAAATTATGTTACTATTAATATAAACAATGGATCTAGAACCATTTCTAAAACTCCTCATATGTTGAAGTGTCTTCAGATGCATGATCAACTTAAGAATGCATTTTATTTAATATCAGTGAAGGAAAATGGTGAATGACAAACATTTGCGGTTCTTATTTGTCTTCCCAAAGAGTAACCTTATACATTGTATAGTATTGATTACACGAAATTATGTTGATGATATTCCTTAATTTTGCAGAACATAAGAAATGTCTAGACTATATTACTAATACAGAACCTTACAGAAGTATTCTTGTAAACTTGGTATAGTATTAAATATTATTTATACTGAAAAGGGTGATTCTTTCAGTATATAGGATTAATTTCTTACTCTAGACAACTCTATATAAGTGCCACTTAAAAAGGTGGATTTTATTACAAGTATAATGAAAATTGTATGACCTAAACAAAAAGTTGCAGATTTTTGATTCCGTTCAACTTTAAAGTTAACATTGTTTGCTCGCCCAGCTATGGAATTTGGCTGGCTCCATGTTAAAATTAGGTTAATAATTGAAATTGTAAGGCCAATATAATAACTATTAAGCGAATACGCACAACAAAATATTCACTGTAAACAATATTTACGTTTGTTTGACATGTTGACATTAAAACATCAGATGTCAAATACGTTCTGTTTTACCAAAAAGAACTTGAACACTTGTTATTTAAGTTAATCTAGAATAAATGTTTACACCTTAAAAGAAAATAAGGCCGGTAAAGAAATACCTAAATAAACTCAGATGTCCCATTCGCACGAGTTTAAATCAAAGTTTGCCTCCAAAACCACTTGGTGTATCACGCCAAAGATCTATAGGCAAACAAGTATAAGAGACTGAAATATATGTATCATGGGTTCCTGACCCTGATATCTTTACTGTTGTTTTCACTATTCAGTAAGTGCAGGAAGATTCTTTTTCCATGCCCTCCTTCTTTTCGGAATTTTAAAAGTCATAAAGAGAAAAAGGGGGGGGGGGTATATGCAAAGGTTATTAGGATCCATTATTGATACCCACGGTTCAACTCAAGTTTCTGAACCTCATTAAGTTCTAGTGTTATCTCTGGTTGTTTCCTTCCAGAAGTTCACCCACTTTACACAACATATACAATGTAGTCACCACCATATAATCAGGAATGAATTCCTAAGAAAAGGAATAGGTACTGCATTCTATGGGAATAATGCTAGCATCACATTGTAAAGTAAAACAAAACAGCAATACGACTTTGCTTTGACTTTTTCAGCATATGTATCCGTTGTGATTATTATATTTTTACTTCTAAATTTACCTATCATACAGTTTATTGAATACTATTAGATAGGTACTTCATTAGTCCTAGGTCCTCTTGTGTGAAATTATTAAGAAACTACCTACAAGATTTTTTAGAAGTGTATACAAATTAAGGCCAAAAAGAAAAAGAAACTTTAATATGTGGTGTGCGGTTCCAGTTTTATTCTAAAATAGGTACATAATTGTGTATTATTACAATTATTATTTAAAACCCTGAGGGTTACTGGTAGAATATGCCACTTGGAATCAAGTTCACCATGTACCGTAACTTTATTGTATTGTGTACATGACAATCTAAATAAATCAATATTATTATGTACCTGTATGTACTCCAATGATAATCTTAGCTTAAAACTTTAGTTTAAAACATCAATTAATTAGCACATATAATTCACACTATCTCTATCACTATAGATTGTACCTAAATGATAATGCCAATAAACCTGAACCATATTTAATAGTACCTACCTACCTACTATTTTTTATTTTTAAGAACAATTTTTAAATCATTGTTCTGGGATCAATCATATTCTACAATTTCAAGTGAATGTATGTCTAGTACTATAACAGTGGACTCTCAACCTCTTCTAAAGCCTCACAGAGATGTATCAATCAGTATCAAAGTCATATATTTAAGTAAGACGACTGCCTGGTCAGTCAATCCATTTTTCCACCAACAATCCTAATATTGCATGAGCTTATTAGCTCTGTATATCACTATGTATGGAGTCATGATCATAATGTAGATCTACTGAAAATGGAGAAGTTAGATAATATATAAAAAAAAAAAAAAAAAAAAGAAACTGATAATTTTGAAGAAAACAACCTATTGAAAGACGTTAAATTTTCGCAATAGACTGAATTTGAACAACGTTATAGTTCAAAACGTACATAGTAGGTGTACCTATAGTTGGTGTAGTGGACACCAGAATTTCAAGATAATAATATTGTTGCTATGCTTACTAAATAATTAAATTAATAAATAAGGACATTTAATTATTTTTCCATCACAATACATAATGATGTAGATCTTAATATTAATCTTATAATATTGACATAAGCTTGTTTCTTCTCTTCACTTCACTTTGGTTCTACATAGGGTTAATGCAGTTTACCTGACAATACAATGATGAAAGTCAGGAACCCAAACTAAGATAACCCGTGCTTTGGGCTTCTGTTTATTTTTAATACTATTTTTAAAATGTATTTAATTTTATAAGTATTTTTATTTGATAAAAATGATTGAAAACAATACCATAACCATAAGTAGCTATTATATCTAATAATGGTTTAGTGGCTTACATCTTGGGGAAATTATAAACGTAATTTGATTATTGCTTAAGTTTTTACTAGTACTATATAGTACTCGTGAGATATTGATGTTATTGACAATGTCATATGTCTTGTTTAAGTGCAACAATGTTCAATGATTAAACAGTGTTGTTTGTCAACACAACTCCTTCTTTGAACGTCTACTAGTATAATTAGCGAGGATGACGCTACCTATAC